TCATTTTGGGAAGAGAGCAGGAAATGGGTAGGGAGTAATTTTAGAATTGTAAGGCATTAGAAAGAATGAAGAGAAAATGATTAATTTCTGATGGAAGTAGGACATGAAATTGTAAGAGTAGAAGTAAACTAAATGAATTAACAGGTGTGTAAGAAACTTCTTTTAGGAAAATTAGCAAATACACCCGCACACAGGGGGATATAAGCGCCCCCTCTCCCACCAGATGTTTGTAGCACGAGCTTCCACAGTAATCGATGGGGCCATCTTGTTTCACCCATTACTGCCCCCCCCCCCAAAAAAAAAAATCAGGGAGTTTAAACACATTAAAACATTGCAGTGTGTATCTCTAAGATGTAGATAGCTGTAATGAGGCATGACTGACAGTAGGTGGCACATATTTAAAATTTAAAGCGTACAGTTGGGTAAGTTAGCAGATGTGTCCTTGCAGGCGTCTTCAAACTACGGCCCGCGGGCCACATGCGGCCCGCAGAGGAGTCTGATCCGGCCCGCCAGGTTTTTTGGGCAGTGAGCGTAGCCGAGGTGTTACAGTAGGAATTAGTAGTTCATATAGTCCGGCCCTCCAGCTCTCTGAGGGACCGTGATCTGACCCCCACTTTAAAAAGTTTGAGGACCCCTGCTAGAGCCTCCACCACAATCGGAAAAGTGGACACATCCATCCACCTCCAGAAGTTCACAGGTATCTCTGTAATCCGTCTCTTCCCCGTCCCCATGCAGCCACTGATGTGTCTTCCATCAACATACACTAGTTAACATTTCCTTTAAATGTACCTTTGTGCCGTTTCACTCAGCATAATTATTTTGAGATTCATTCATGCTGTAGTAGATATATCAATAGTCATTTATTTTTATTGCTGAAGATATACTATGGTATTATTACCATACCCCAAAATAAATTTAAAGTAGTTCCTTATTGCCCTGCTGGTTTTGCTAAGTGGATAGAGCGTCGGCCTGCAGACTGAAGGGTCCCGGGTTCAGTTTTGGTCAAGGGCACATGCCTGGGTTGTGGGCTTGATCCCCAGTGGGGAGACATGCAGGAGGTGGCTGCCGTGATTCTCTCTCATCATTGATGTTTCTATCTTCCTTTCCTTCCTCTTTGAAATCAATAAAAACATATTTAAAAAAATAGTTCCTTATTATCATCTAATATCCAATCAGTTTTTTAATTTCCCCATTGTCCCATAGTGTGCTTTTATGGTTGATCTGTTCGCATGAGGATGCAAACATGTCCACACAGGGGCACTTACCTTTTTATTTATTTTTTAATTATATTTCATTTATTTTTACAGAGAGGAAGAGAGAGGGATAGAAAGTTAGAAACATCGATGAGAGAGAAACATACATCAGCTGCCTCCTGCACACCTCCTATGGGGATGTGCCCACAACCAAGGCACATGCCCTTGACCGGAATCGAACCTGGGACCTTTCATTCCGCAGGCCGACGCTCTGTCCACTGAGCCAAACTGGTTTTGGCAAGGGCACTTTTTAATCCCTCTCCTGCATCTGCCCCAAGTTATTGGGTCATTATCTTTAATAGTGATTTCACTGTGGTGACAAGTAATTATGTAGAAATGTCACAGGAAGGGACATTTTCCCTAACCCCCTCCACCCTGACACAGCTGTTCATTTTTGTGTACCTCTAGTTCTTGACCTTACGCAGAGTAAGAGTTAACATTTTAAGGATGGCAAGAATTAGTTGACGTTCTCAATGAAGTTCCCTGTAAGGAGTAAAGCATGTTTCCAGGAACATCGGTGGCGCTGCTCCTGACAGCAGTTAGCACAGATGACAGCTGAGCGCGCCACTTCCTGTTTTTCTGCAGAGGCAGACTCTGGAATTCCCCTGGTGCCCATGACTTAAATCTTGTCTCTCTCGTCTTCGTAACACACCACACTGAGAAAAGTATGCCGTTCTCTAAACGTCTACATGTGCCTCGAAAATAGTGTTTGTATTTTAAAATATCTTATGTAAAATACCTAGACTTTGGGAATGTTCTAGGCAGGGAACACCTTGGCCAGCCTGGGTCTCATCCTTTCAGCCTTCTCTGTCCCTTTATAATGCTGCTCACCCTTCCCTTTTCTTTACCGTCAGTCTCTCCTCTTTTATTGGATCTACCTCATCAGAAATTAAGCATCATCAAGTCTTTCGCATCTTCAGGGAAAACTTTCAATCTGACCTCATTTCTTCTCCCTTCTGCTCCCACCGTCTGTCTTCTCCCCGTCCAGACCAGACGTCAGACTTCTCTCCGGTGTCTGATCTCTGCATCTCCCTCCTCCTGGACACTGCCTCCCGGCCCCCTGCTGTCTGCTCCTCTGACACGCACTGAGGTTGCCTTCTCCCTCATGACACTTCCCGAGACGCACCTGGCTTTCCTCCTCAGGGCAGGGTGTTCTTCGGCCTCTGTGCTGGTGTATCTCCCCCTGCCCAGCCTTGCCTGGCGCCTGGTGCGTGTCCTAGGCAGCCATTCACTGGCAGCTTCAGCCGCTGTGACTCGGTGCCTCACCTCCAGGTTCGCCTTTTGCTGAATTGTGTGTCCGTGTGTCCACTGGCCTCTGGGTCATTCACTGTGTGCCTCACTGATCCCCGGAACTCAGGAGTGTCCAAGACTGAGCCTCCCACCTTCTCAGAGCCGGTCCTCTTCCAGGATGGCCTCACCGGGAGCTGCGCGTGCTCCTCAGATCTGAGGCTGCGGCTCCCTGCCCTACCCTTCCTCCCGTCCCAAGTCCAGCAGCAGCCAAGGGCTGTCGATTTTATCTGCTGAACACCTCTTGGCTCTATTCACCTCTTTCCGTCTCTGTTAATAGTTGAATCTAATCTTTTTCACCAACATTATAATTTCTTTTGGCCCCTCCAACCTGCTGCCCACCTGTAACTGATGGAGCAGCCTTCTAAAATAAGAAATACGTTTTTATTAATTTCCGAGAGAGGAAGGAAGAGGGAGAGATAGAAACATTGACGAGAGAGCATCTATTGGCTGCCTCCTGTCAAGGATCGAGCCCGAACCTGGCATGGGCCCTGACCGGGAATCAAACCCGGCACCTCCTGGCATTTGGGGAGATGCTCAGCCAGCTGAGCCACACCGGCTGGGGCGGCCTTTTAAAGCCAGTCTGATCGTTGCCCTGCTTTGAGAGCTGTGCTCCTCTCGCCTTGGGGAGGGAAGGACTGGAAGCTCCCATTTTTATACCTTAAAACCGGTGTGACTAGAGAGCACGAACAACCTGCCAGCACTGAAGGAAAGGTCTCACTCTCAGCTCAGTAAAGGTCAAGTTTAAAATTACTATTTCAGGTTCATAACTAATTACCCAGCGTAACATTATGGTACAAGTGGAAGTCTCCTGGCCTTTGCCTTCCAGTGTGAGAGTAGTCTCCTGAATCAGTGTTCAGTCACCTGCTTTTGAACATCCTCAGTATTGAGAATGTTATTTTAATTTCTTCTTTGATCTTTTTGGTACCCCAATCATTGTTTAATAGCATGCTATTCAGCTCCCAAGTGTTTGAATTTATTGTTTTTATTGTAGTTTATTTCTGATATTATGTCATTGTGGTCTGAGAAGATGCTTGATACGATTTCAGTCTTCTTGAATTTGGAGAGAGTTAGCCTGTGACCCAGCAGAGAGTGTTATTTTAATACTGCTCTTTCCCACGCGTGTCAGGTCACAATCACATCCACCATTCATTCTTTCAGGAAACACTTCAGGGTGAGGTGGGTGGTGTGAGCGCCCCAGGTGACTTCTCTCCCAGCATCGTCCTGCAGTGACTCAGCATTTAGGGAAACCCTCAGCATGGAGATGGGGCTGAGCACCGGACACTCTGCCGGAGGAGATGCTGCCCTGTGTTCACAGACGAGGGACGGTCAGAGCTGGTGGCCTGGAGCAGGCTCCCTCTGCGCAGGGCCTCGCGCTGAGCCAGGCGGCCCGCGCACACCAGTAGGCTTTGGGGAAAGTGCAGTCAGCAGACACCATCTTGGGAATCTGCTCTGCAGCAACAAAAGCGGAGGACAGTGAACAGTGCGTACCGGCTTCTGAAATTAATGCGTGGACTTCCTGCTTCTGTGCTTTTGTGAAACTCACGAGCGAATCCCGAGAAGCTGTCGCCTGGGTCTGTTGTGATACGTATTTAGGAGCTGTCAGGTCCCAGCAGCATTTCAGTGGATACAGAGATAAATAGGTTCAAGGCAGCCCTGTCCAACAAGTTCATGCAAAATTTGTCTTAGTTTTGAGGCAAACTGCAATTTCAGGAGGAGGCTGGACAGGGATGAGCCGAGCTGGCATCGGGACACTTAAGCCAGCAATGCCAGGGCCCCTCCCAGTTAGGTCAGTGTCTCTGGTCATGGGAAACTCGGGACTGTCTCAACATCGCTGAAAAGTTGTACTCAGAATGAATACAATACAGAATGTTGTGTTCAAGCCGCAATGTGTTTGCTAACAATGGTTAGTGATAATTTTATATGTGTCTCACTTTTTAAAAAATAGAATAAAACTAAATGTTCATTATATTAATGTGGCAATGGCCAAAGCTAGACCAAGACATCTTTTTAAAGTTCTAAATGACCTATTAGTTTGCTTTACCAATCATTTTAAGTAGTTGTGGTAATCCAAGATTCAGGTATTTTTGTGTCCCGGGCATTTTTTTTTTTTAATCCTCACCCAAGGACATTTTTTAAATTAGAGAGAGAGAGAGAGAGAGAGAGAGAGAGAGAGAGAGGGAGAGAGAAGGAGGAAGGGAGGGAGGGGAAGGGACAGGAAGGGAGGGAGAGAAACTTTGATGTGAGAAACATGGATCAGTTGCTTCCCTTATGCACTTCTTCCAGGAATTAAACCCACCACCTTTCCAGTGTGGGATGATGTTCCAACCAACTGAGCCACACTAGCCAGGGCTCCTGGGCAAACTTATTGTATTATTAAACAGAGCCATTCATCCATAGTATGTATAGCCATCAGAATAAGTTTTTTGGTAATAAGATCATTTTCTTCTCATATTTTAGAAAAGGCGTCGTCGGATTGACCGAAGTATGATTGGAGAACCAACAAACTTCGTACACACAGCTCACGTAGGATCAGGGGACCTGTTCAGCGGAATGAATTCAGTAAGTACGCTGGTGGAACATGCACTGAGGTCTTGAGACACAGGTGTGTGTTTTTAATGTTACACTAGATGCCTTTGTAGACATCGAATATGAACACATACTGTCAGCGGTTTTGGCAACAAGCTAGGAAGAATGAGAAGTAAAAATAAAAGATCTTTTGGCTGTCTTTTCTAGAGATTTCAGTGAATTTCAGAATAGAATTTCAATTTAATCAGCTGAACTCTCTTATTCCTTAATTTTCTCTAAGTCAGGGCTCTGCCTCACTTTTGCCCAGAGACAAGCTACTCTCGAGGGTCTCTCCCCGGTGCCTACAGTAAACAGATGTCTAAGTGATCTTTGAAGCGTTTAACCCGGGAAGTCAGTAGGCTTTTATAAACACGGAATTATGTGTATACACTCATTCACTGGACAGTGTTAACAAAAGGCTTAACAAGAGAACAGTGCTTTAAAATAGGTGGGTGAGTGTCCTGGACACAGCAAACAAGCCTGGCGGGTTAGTGACTAGTAAGCAGAGGGCTGGTGTGTATCCTCTGAGAGGAAGCAGCTTGTCTGGCAGGTGGGAGGAGAGGGCTCTGTCACTCGCTGCCGCCCACGTGTCGTCAGCGGCTTCGTTTCTCAGGCCGACGCGTGTGAAGACACTGAAGGGGAACCTCTGACTTGTTACTAGAACGCATGGTTTGAAACTTATTATATGTGATACATTTTATTTTCTTATCTATAACTGTCTTCACCACTTCAGGTTTTTAAACTGTACACAGACACATTACTGTTTAGTCTGTGGTGCTTGCTTTTAAATCGTGTTTGTGCACAGTTCAGCATTTCTCTCAGGACTCCCGTCCGCACTGGTCTCCGCGGGGAGTTTGTCCCCATCGCCCTTTCGCCTGCCTGGTGCGGGCAGAGCTGGGAGGCGCAGGGTCAGCGGCCCTCAGGGAGGCTCTGCCCTGCAGCCTCCGGGCAGCTTCTCTGCTTACTGAGTGGGTTTTTCCTGAAGTGTTTTCGCTCTTTAGACCCAGATAAGCCTCTTGCAGCCATTGCTTATCCCAGCTTGCTGCATCTTTAAAGCCATAGGCCGCCCCAGCACTCCGTCTCCCAGCTCCGTTCTCACTGCAGGCTGAGGATTGTGAAATCCGTTTCCTGAACTATCAGCGACAGTTCTAACCTATAGAAGCCAAAATCCATGAGAAAATTCCATTTTCCTGGGCAATAATAGTACAAATAAGGCAAAACTACAGACATGCTGTTTATCCAAGGAAGTGTTTCCTCTCAGGTTTGTCCTTCCCAAAACCTGAGCAGCTGGAATTCGGACCTAGGCTTGGTGTGTGTGGAGGAGCCACACTGGATTATTGGATGGTTTGGGACTTGCAGTTGTTTTTCCCCTAAACACACTGTTCATCCCAAGACTGCCTTTCACACTAACTTCCTGCGGGAAGAGGGTTCTGTGACTCTATAATGTAGCTCTATTGTGTTAATAAAAGGCTAATATGTAAATCAACCGAGCAGCAGAATGACCGGTTGCTATGGCACGTACTGACCACCAGGGGGCAGACACTCAATGCAGGAGCTGCCCCTGGTGGTCAGTGCGTTCCCACTGGGGAAACACCGCTCAGCTGGAAGTCCTGAGCTGGGCTCACGGCTGGCAGGTGCAGCAGTGGTGGCAGGAGCCTCTCCCGGGGGGAGCGGCCTGAGCCAGCAGTCGGACATCACTGAGGGCTCCCAGACTGCAGGAGGGCACAGCCAGGGGAGGACCCCCCCCCCCCCAGGTGCACGAATTCCATGCACTGGCTTCTGATGTAGCAGGTGTGCTGGCGCCTCACTGTCAGTCACCACCTTCTGTTGCTCCGTTTGCTGCAGCCTGGCTGGACTCCCTTATTCTTTGCTTCCAAACTGCTTCTAGTTGGTGTAAAATTGGAATGATAATGACACACTAAGAGTACTTCACAATGTGCAAATAACTGCCTTTTTTTCAGCAAAGAAAGAAAATATCCCAATATTTACATATCCCGGTGTATCAGAAAGTAGCCCAGTAAAGTACTAGTAGTTAGGAGAGATCATCATGTTAACCGGTAAGAAGCCTGACAGTTCACCAGAGTTCCAATAGGAATAAATAAATCTGGACTTGTGTCCAAATCTTTGCGTTCTTAGACTTTTTAGTTTATCAGACTATTTTAAGACTGTATCAGGTATATAAAATTTACCACATGGACTTTTACAATTTATCTGGGGTTGGTCCAATTTCTGTTTTCTTTTTCAGATTCTAGAATAAGTAATTGAGACAATCATAAGTGTGAGATGCATGTAAATTAAGGCATTTAAGGTGGAGGAAATGAAAGCTGATTTGTATACTTTAAAGATATATACATATATATTGAATATATATTGATTTCAGAAAGAAAGAGAGAGGGAAATAGAAATATCAGTGATGAGGGAGAATCATTGGTAGGCTGCCTTCTGCACAACCCCCACTGGGGATTGAGCCTACAACCTGGGCATGTGCCCTACCAGGAATGGAACCATGACTTCCTAGTTTGAGTCACAGGTCAACCCTCAACCACTGAGCCACACTGGCCAGGGCTAATTTGTATACTTTTGACTTCTTTTGGAATGTTACCAAGTGCCTCGTGAATTACAAAAATGGTTTTTTGTATTAGCAAAATAGAGAAGGTAGGGGGAGAGGGAGTTGTAGCAAAAAAAGGTTTCAGTTACAAGCCTCACTATCTGCCCTCAGTCAGAAAAATGTTGTCTTTAAAAATTCTTTTATTTTATTCTGAAACTAGCCCTGACTGGTTTGGCTCAGTGGATAGAGCGTTGGCCAGTGGACTGAAGGGTCCCGGGTTCGATTCCATCAAGGGCATGTACCTTGGTTGCGGGCACATCCCCAGTAGGGAGTGTACAGGAGGAAGCTGATCACTGTTTCTCTCTCGTCGATGTTTCTAGCTCTCTATCCCTCTCCCTTCCTCTCTGTAAAAATTCAATAAATAAAACTAGAGGCCCAGTGGGGTCCCTTGGCCTGGCTGGCCATCCAGGAGGCCAGCGTGGGGGGGGGGGGGACTGAGGGAGGTTGGCTGTGAGGGAGGGACTGAGGGAGGTTGGCTGTGAGAGTGTACTGGCCAATAGGGGGCAGCTCCTGCCTGAGCATCTGCCTCCTGGTGGTCACTGCACATCAGAGGACCTGCTGGTTGTCCATTCATAACGGTGGCTTAGGCTTTTATATGCACAGATTTTATGACTTTAAAAATCTATTACAGCTTTTTTACTATAAAAAAGTACCCTTCTAAAAAAAAGGAATCAAAACGTTGAGACAAGAATCACTTAGTTGCACTTCCTTAGTTCCTGACTCGGGCCCTGTTTTGTCGTGCAGGTTAGCTCCATTCAGAACCAGATGCAGTCCAAGGGCGGCTACGGGGGCGGCGTGTCCGCGGGGGTGCAGATGCAGCTGGTGGACACGAAGGCAGGATAGCCCGCCCGCCGTGAGTACTCCGCGCTCAGCCGGGGCCGCCCGGCTGGCCAATAGGCGGCCTTCACTGAGCGGGGCTAAAAGATGCATACAGCTGACCCTTGAACAACACGGGTTTGAACTGTGCAGTTCCACTTGTACATGGGTGGTGGTGGTTTTTTCCCAATAGATACTGGAAATGTATATTTCCTCTAGCTAACTGTATTGTACGAATACACTGTATAATAGTACATGTACAAACTATGTGTCAATCACCTTATTGGTAAGGATTCCGGTCAGTATAATTGTAGGCTGTAACAGTAGGCTACTAGTATTTACGTTTTGGGAGAAGTCAAAGCTATACACAGATTTTCAACGGTGCTGGGGATGAGTGCAGAACTGCCCCAATCCCTACGTTCTTCAAGGGTTAGCTGTATTTTGTTTTCCCTCTTTTTTTAAAAATTGTGAACAAAAGGCAAAAATGTTTTACTTGCCTAAATATTAACACACTGTAGATGGATCATGACATTACAGTGTTTTACAAACTATCACACTAGCTTGTAAAAAAACTGTAATAAATAACTTCATAATGCAATGGGTATTTAATTTTAAAGCGTGCCTTTAACGTTATGTAAAGCTTTTTCTGCACTTGTTCAATAGAAACTTACCGGGCCACTGGGTAACGCTGGCAATAGAACTGCTGGTCCGCAGTGTGCTAAGATGGGAGTAGGCGCTGCTGCAGTTTGGATGTTAATTTTAGGTTCCTCTTTTCCTTGTGAAGAACTTGAAGGACATTAAGACATCTGGTTGGGGAGGCTGGAAGATTCTGGTGGCAAGACGAAACTCAGGGGTCCTTTAAACAAGGGTGACTTTATTATTTTGAGCATTGATATTGCACAAAATCCCATGTGAAGTAATTTTATTTTTAAAATTTATCAACTGTGCTGGTTGATAAATCTTTATCAACTTCTTAAAAGGATGCATCCCCAAAGTGTAAAGATAACTTGGATGTTTCTTTGGTTTTGTGGGTCATTGTGAATTTCTGTGTTTCTCCTTCTATTCTTTAATTTTTGTGTGTGATTGCTTTTCTTTTCAATTACAAAATGAAGGCCGATGGCGTCTTGTCCGTCCTGTCGTGGCCCTCCAGTGAGACGCACTGTTCCGCCGAAGAAGCGATTGCCGGGTGAATCCTGCATTTCCTTCCGCTGGCCGCATGCCTTTGACTCCTGGACAGAGTTTCTTAGATTGTGGCTTAAACTTCATTTTTTATCAACATGGATCTGACCGTAGCATGATCTTTTCTGTGAATGCTAGCGCTGTTTTGCATTTTTTCCCATTTTAACATTTCTTTTTTCGCCTGCCTTATGATTTTACTAGTAAGTAAGGACCTGCTACTATTTGTTAACGTGTCACCATTTATGTATATTTCGGAAGGTCTGAGACCCACAAGCACAATGATCATTGTTAGTCACTTGAAACGTGCGCAGAATGATGTCTGCAGCCCGAGGAAGCCGCTGTGTGCGGAGCCGGGCTGGCGATGCTGCTGTTAGCCAGCGTGGTGCCCGCCACACACACCGCGGCCACCGGTGGGAACTGCGGCTCATTCGAAACACGGCCTCGTCTGCTTAGTGAGGATTCTAGTACAAGGCACGTTTGCGTTCGTAAGGCCTTCATGCTGCTGTGAATGTTCGCTATTTATTTGGGAGCGAGGCCCCGGAGGGCGCAGAATGGCTGCGCGTCCCGGCTGGGGTGACGCCTCCGTGGGCTGAGCACAGCCCCTCGCTTCTCCGCTCGCTCTGCGGTCCTCGTGCCCAACAGGGTGTGCTGAACGCCTGGCCTCTCCTGGGAGTTGCCACTGAAAACAACCTGTCTGGTGACTTGACGGAATTGGTGAGAAAACCTTAGCTTTGGTTGCGGAATATGCTTATTATTCCACAAACCTGCAAATGCTTCTTGTTCCCGCCAGGACATAGCATTTAGCCAGTTGGTGGCTGTGTCTGTTAACATGTAAATCCCGTGTCTGGTTCAGCTCTACCTTCATGTGGTCAGATTAACATTTCACACGGCGAATGGGGGTTCATTGAAAACGTAGCCCTAAGGAATTAGGTAATATTGAAAGTGATCATCTTCTGTCTTTTTTTAATTTCCTTACCCTTAGCCCAACTCCTTGTGAAATGTAACAGAATAAACATTAGGTTTGTGAGGCAAAACGTGAAAGCACCCCCGCCACTCTCCCCCCACAGGGGGCGCCAGATACTCAGTCCTGTGCTCTGTGGCTTTCCGCCCGCAGTGCAGTCTCCAGCAGGGAGGATCTGTCAAGGAAAAACATTCATGCTTAGTAACAAAATACGTATTTTGCAGTTTAACAACTTCTTAACTATAGTTCATCCGGTCTCACTGATTCACAGTTGGCACTGCATTCTGCAAAACGCCAGAGCCTGTGTGCTGCCAGCGGCACGGCTGTGCCGCTTTTTAAGACGGACTGGACTTCCCTGACATTGCCCCACTGGTGCCATTTGGTCTACTTCTACCTGGACTTTAGAGATTTTTAGTACAATTTTTATACTTGTCCTAGAATGCCTGGGACACAGTACAGGGAGCCAGGGTCCCTCTGCCCTGACTCATGATTTGCTTTGCTTTTCCAATCGCTATTTTTTTCTGCTTCTCCAAGGACCAAAATACTCCATGTGCCTGGGGTGTCTGCACGGTGGCCGCAGGCTGCACTGTGCTGGCCACACTGTGTGCAAGGGCACCAGCTAAGGAAGGTGCCAGTGAATCAAGGAGAAAATTACCAAAAATTCTAAGCTAGGAACCTTGAGCACGTCTTTTAGGAAGATTTGAGAGAGGGGGAAGCAGCCAGCATCCCCACATTCATGGGTTGTAAGTTTTGGAGGTCATTTGGTCCCCATAGCAACGTATCTCATTTTGAAATTGAAGCTAATTAAATAGGATAGACTGTTAGTACTTTGTTGAAATACATGCTAATAACTGTTAAGCAAGGGAAAATGAATGAAGGTTTAACGACATGGATTCTGTTATCAGTGACCTGCATTCTGCAAATCGGGTGCTTCCTCGTGATCTAGGCCCGAGCCGTGCCAATGAGCGCAGAGCGGACTGTTCGCTCTGGAGTCAGATTCAGCATTCCAGTGCAGCAGCATCCTGGCCTTCAGAGATACTGAGCGTATTCCAGCTCTCATTGTTATTGAATTATAGCAGTTTCATTATAGAGAACAAGTTGAGAACAAGTTTGCCTTGATTTTGTTTAAAATGACTCTGCTCAGCACCCAAAAGATAAAATTGACATATTTTTATAATATCAGCACTCTTTTTCTTGTACATTGTGTTCATTCTTGAATAAAGTGAGTTCGGTGTCGGCTTGTAGATATTAAAAAGAAAGTATTGATTCAATAAATGTTTTCTTTCAAACCTGGTTTGGGTTTTTCCTTTCAGTGTAGTTTTCTTCTTTCAAGGAGTTACTTACCAGAATTCACTTAGAGCAGCGGTGGCCAACCAGTAGTCTGTGAGGTCCGAAAGCGTGGCGACTGCTGACTTCATAGCATTCTTATCTCATGCAGAAATAATTTATCATTCTCTTTAACTTCACCTTTAATTTAACAAACACCTAGTCAAAAATGGGCGTAAATGTTTGGAAATAGGACTTAGGACTTGTTATTGAAATATCCCTTTTCTCCAAGTTTTCATTGTCTGGAACATCACAAATGGCTTATAACAGAGAAGGCAAGCCCTGGCTGGTTTGGCTCAGTGGATAGAGCATTGGTTTGCGGACTGAAGGGCCCCAGATTCAGTTCCAGTCAAGGTGCATGCCATGGGTGTGGGCTCAATCCCCGGTAGGGCATTGAGGCAGCCGATAAATGGTTTTTCCTCATCGATGTTTGTCTCTCTCTCTCCTTCTCCTTTCCTCTTTCAAATCATTTTTTTAAAAAATTACAAAAAGAAGTCAGATTCCTATTCAGTTTCCCATGCTGAAGTATTTTGTCCTCAGTTATGCAGGATTTAAGAACTTTCTTTCTCAGCCATGCTGTCAGCTCCATTATGAGCAGTTTTGTCCCCGAGGAGCGCTGGGCAGAGTCTGGGATGACTTTGGTCACAGCCGGAGGCAGGGGTGCTGCTGCCTGGCGGGGAGAAACCAGGGAGTTGCTCAATACCCGTGGCGCCCAGGACAACCCACCACAGGGTCTGCCAGCCCTGACTGCCACGGCCAGCAAACCCCGGACTAGAGCCAAGATCTGTGTGCACACCACATACACCTGGTTAGTGGGTCAGAAACTGAGACCAGCCGAAACCGGTTTGCCTCAGTGGACAGAGCATCGGCCTGCGGCCTGAAAGGTCCCAGATTCGATTCCGGTCAAGGGCATGTACCTTGGCTGCGGACACATCCCCAGTAGGGGGTGTGCAAGAGGCAGCTGATCAATGATTCTCTCTCATCGAAGTTTCTCACTCTCTATCCCTCTCTCTTCCTCTCTGTAAAAAATCAATAAAATATATTTAAAAAAAACAAAACCTGAGACCAGCTAGTAGGTCTATGTTATGAGAATTGTCACACAATGTTCTAAATTATAAAAATGGATGAGAAAAATACTAGAAAAGAGTATCTCGGAAGCCTTTGATAATTGTATTCTCATCTTGTGGCCAAAGACTCGAAGGAAATGGGAGAAGGTGATGCTCCGTGTAAGACGGAACACGGACAGCCAGTAAGCGCCCGCTGAGGAGAGGGAGCCCGTGCTCTCCCGCACTCTTTCAAGGACGCGCGCAGAACGTGGAGGGAAGGGCGCGTCCGATAAGCACAAAAAATAGGACCAACTAGAAACGGCACCTGGAATTGGCTAAAACTTGTGAAAATGCAAAAACCTACAAAATGTACATGGACAAGAAAGAAATTCTATCGTTACTACAGGCTTTCAGCGACTGCAAAGAATACGGCTGAAACTCGGTTTATTGTCTCCATTCAGAATGGTTCACCGGGAGAACTTGGGCCAGTGGTCGGCAAACTGCGGCTCTCGAGCCACCTGTGGCTCTTGGGCCCTGGAGTGTTCCAACACCACCTCTTCAAAACAGACTCGCCTGGGCCGAAAACTGGCTTCTGCGCACGGGCCACGAGGTTTTAATCGCACTGGACCTGCACGCCCGCGTGTGGCGGTTTGTGGAAGAGCCACACTCGAGGGCCAAAGAGCCGCATGTGGCTCGGAGCCACGGTTGGCCGGCCACTGACTTAGACCATTAAATGGCTCAGGTTGATCTCGCTGTTTTGGCACCTTCACATTTCGTGTTTATGGTGTTCACAGACTCTGCAGTTTTGCGTTTCAAGTACTTTCTACCAGACACAGGCCACCTCCTGGCTCCTCCTGATCTCTGCCCGCGTCCTTTTAACCCTTCGCACTCCGAACCATTCTGGACATTGGCTACCGGCTACTCAACGCTACTTTGCGGCGGAAACGTGCGCTGAATTAACTCAATTCCCCGAAATCACTAATAAACTGCAATGTCCCCTGAGAGGGGACATCCGAGTGATATGCTAGAATTCCGATGTCCCCCGAGAGGGGACAGCGGAGTGCAAAGGGTTAATCTTTTCATCTTAAACTAAAGGCTTCTCTATGGCCCGCCTTTGATGCCTAGAAGAACAAAACCAGGTGCACTGGAAAGTTACTTCCTGAGTAAGCAGATCCAGCTGTTTGGCCTGGGACCTCCCAGCAGGTGCCGAGGGTGGGCCCTGGGCCCTGAAAGGAGGATAATTTCCTCACTGGAAGGTGAGGGCAGGACAGTCAGGAGAAGGCGATTCTAACCCCGTTTCCCCTCGTAAATCCGAGCTCCTGAGTCCCCCAGAGCGCTCGCTGTTTGCAGATCTCCTGTGTCCAGTGGCCTTGGGCCCCAAAGGGACTCCTGGCACAATAAAATTTATTTTGTTTTATTAAAATATATCTATCAGCTGCCTCCTGCACACCTCCTACTGGGGATGTGCCCACAACCAAGGTACATGCCCTCGACCAGAATCGTACCTGGGACCCTTTAGTCTGTAGGCCGACGCTATGGCCACTGAGCCAGACAAGACCGGGCATCAGAGGGTTTTATTTTTGCTCCTCGAAGGGAATAGCAAAGGAGATACTCCTTTAAAATCTTAAGAACTTCACCCTTTTCTTAATGTTCTTCTTTCATCCATTTAAACCAGCTGTCGGCAAACTGCGGCTCACGAGCCACATGCGGCTCTTTGGCCCCTTGAGTGTGGCTCTTCCACAAAAAACCATGCGCGGGCGCGCAGTACAGTGCGACTGGAACTTCATGGCCCATGCGCAGAAGTCGGGTTTGGCCTGGGCGAGTCTGTTTTGAAGCGGTGGCGTCAGAACACTCAAGGGGCCAAAGAACCACATGTGACTCGCAAGCCGCGGTTTGCCGACACCGATCTAAACAATTCAGCCTTTGTACATCGTGCCTTCGCCTCGGCCCTCGTTCTGTGCCCCGAGATCCCCGGAGCGCTTTTTAAACAATATTAGTGACATCATCAGACAGCTGACAAGGCCCTTGTTTCCCCCACAGAAACACCCAATAAACAACAATATGTGGACCAATAAAGCCCGTGATGCGGGTGGGAGAGCACACAGGCAGAGGGTACAACAGACACACAAGCAGGAATGAGACGCGTAAACGGAGGCTTTAGAAGCAGCTGGGTTTGGGGGGGGTGGGGGGGGAGAAGGGGTGCGGGGTTGGGGACACGCACTTGCAGGCCCAGGGGTCGTGCACATCCATAACGGGCGGAGAGGACCATGAGCTTTAAGTGGGGAGGTGTCCATCAGGAAGGTCTCCCCTTGCGGTGTGAGGCCACTCAGTAAAGACCGAGAGAGACTTGTTTCAAATAACCTAAATCTCAACCCAAAACTCTCAGATGTGCTTAGTGAGTCAATGAGAAACGGACAGACTAAGCAACATCAACAAAGAGATTTTCAAAAAATGAGAATATCAACAGGGATAGAAATTATAAAACAAAATATTGAAGTCCTAGCCAGAGCAGTTAGTCAAGAAAAAGAAAAAGCATTCAAAATGGAAAAAAAAACAAACCAAAAACCACACACACAAAATTATCTCTGTTCACAGACAATGGGTCTGATATGTGAAAGCCTTAAAGACTTCACTCACCCACACACACAGCTAACAAATGAATTCAGCAAAGTTGCAAAGTACAAAATCAACACACAAAAACCGGGTGTTTCTATCCACTAACAACAATCTGCAAAAATTAAAAGAATTTCCACTTACAATTGCATCTAAATACAATACTTAGGAATAAATTTAAAGAGGCAAAAGACTGGTCCAACTGAAAACTACAAAATATTAGTGAAATTAAAGAAGGTATAAATGGAAAGACATTGTGTATTCTTTCACAACTCGAGACCTAATGTTAAGGTGTTCGGACAATCCAAGGTGATCCACAGATTTAATTCAATCTCTATCCAAATCCCAATGGCGTTTTCCCCCATTCATATAGAGCAGTGCTTCTCAACCTTTCTAATGCCATGACCCTTTAATACAGTTCCTCATGTCGTGATAACCCCCAACCATAAAATTATTTTCGTTGCTACTTCATAATGTAATTTTGCTACTATTAAATGAATCATAATGTAAATATCTGTGTTTTCCACTGGTCTTAGGCGACCCCGCTAACGGTGTGACCCACAGGCTGAGAACCACTGCTGTAGAGACTAAGACCATCGGAAAACATAGATATTTACATTACAGTAATGAAGTAGCAACGAAAATATTATATGGTTGGGGGTCACCACAACATGAGGAACTGTATTAAAGGGTTGCGGCATTAGGAAGGTTGAGAACCACTGATCTAGAATATCAAGGGATCCTAAAGAGCCAAAATCTTTAAAGACAAAGTTGGAGGTACTGTACTTGATTTTAAAACTTATAAATCTACAGTAATTGAACAGTGTGATACTGGCATGAAAACAGGCATATAAACCAATGGAACAGAATGGAGCATCAAGACATAAACTCTGTATGGGGAAATGATTTTCAACAAGGATGCCAAGGTCACTTAATGGGGTAGGGCCAGTCTTTTCAACAAACGGCCCTGGGAACACTGGGCATCCATAGGAAAAGAATAAAGGTAAGGCATGTCTCGGCCTGTTTTGGCCACTGTAACAAAGTACAATACCACACTCTGGGTAGCTTATAAACAGCAGAAACACTTCTCAGTTCTGGAGGCTGGGAAGTCCAAGAACAAGGTGCCAGCATGGCTGCTCCTGGCAAGAGCCTCTTCCTGTCCGTAAGCTGCCCTGTTGTCAGAGCAGCAGTTCACTGCAGGAGGGCTCTGTCCTCACAACCTGGCCCCCCTTCCAAACCATCACTTAGGACCCGTGAGGGGGAGGGACAGACATTGAGACCACAGCAGACCCCCACAGCGCACACAGA